AGTTCTTAATCGTTGCTTGGAATCCTACCTTAGATGCTTCACAGGGGAGAAGCCTCGACAGTGGGTTCACTGGCTTCCGTGGGCAAAATACTGGTACAATTCGACTTATCAGTCAGCTACTGGAATGACACCCTTCAAAGCTCTATATGGCAAAGAACCCCCTCCCATATTACCTTATGAATATGGGTCATCCAAGGTGGCAGAAGTAGAGACCCGTCTACTTGCGAGAAACAAGATTCTTAGATTGCTTAAGTCCAACTCGACAAAAGCCCAACAGCGAATGAATGCCCACTATGACTCTCACCACCGCCCACTAGAATTTCAGGTGGGTGACTTCGTTTACCTTAAGCTCCAACCTTACTGCCAGATCTCGGTAGTAAGACGGGTTTGGCACAAGCTAGCACCCAGGTATTATGGGCCTTATAAAGTTTTGGAGAGAGTGGGCCTTGTTGCTTACCGGTGGGACCTCCCTGCAACCTCAAAGCTTCATCCAGTGTTTCACATCTCACTTCTTAAGAAGGCGATGGGAAATCATACTCCTGTCTCATCCAACTTGCCCCAATTCACTGAAGAAGGGGACACTGACACGGAGCCTATCAGAATTGTGGATTTCCGTTGGGTTCGACGAGGTGGTCAGGTTGTGCCAGAAGCCAAGGTAGAATGGGTTGGGCTTCCTCCAGATGACGCCACTTGGGAACCTTATCTAAGGCTGAACGAGAGGTTTCCGAACCTAGACCTTGAGGGCAAGGTCAATGCTAAGGGGGGGAGGAATTGTTGGAACCCAAACACTCCCTCCGAACCCAACTATGGGAGTGGAGCAGGCCACCACCAATCAGCATTTCACTAGAAGACAGAAAGGGTGGTGTGACATGCGGCAGAGCCCCCAGAGTTAGTTACACTCAGAGCCTTCCAGAATTAGTTACACTGCCACCAGAAGATATTCTCTCCATGATTGCACACATGTAGGCCAGCTATATAAGGCCCTGATCATGTAATAAGCAGTGTGAATGAATATCTCTTTTATCTCCCTCTCTCTGTGAGTCATTTTCTTCCTACCCTTTCCTCTCTTCTCTCCTTCATCTTCTGTTTCAGAAGGTTAAGCCACCCTCGAAGGGGCTCCCGAGGTGAGCGGTAACTCATCAGTCAGGATGATCACACATTGTTTTTAAAAAGAAAAGGTGAGTTGGTTGCCATTTTGATCCTGTAAGTTGATGATTTTGTGATTACAGGGAGGTTTGAAGTAAAAGATCTTTGTCCTTTGAAATACTTCATTGGCATTGAAGTTGCTCAATCTGATAAGGGTGTCTTCATCTCTCAAAGGAAGTATATCCTTGACCTGTTGAAGGACACTAGGAAACTAGGATATAAACCTAAACCAGTTGATAGCCCTACGGATCCAAGTCATAAACTTGGGTATTACGAGGGAAAGAAAGTTTTGGATGTTCATCAATACTAGAGACTTATTAGGTGACTGTTATATCTTTCCATGACAAGACTAGATATATTGCTTTTGCTGTGTTTATACAGATTCAATACATGCACTCACCAAGACCCTCTCACTTTAAGGTAGCCGAGAGAATTATCTCACCTACTTAAAAAGATACCTGTGTAGGGGTCTCCTCTTCACTAAGCAGGGTCATACTAAGGTGGAAGGCTATACTGATGCGGCCTGGGCTAGTTCTGTAACAGTCTGTGGTATTAAAGTCAGGTGCAAAAGCCAAGTATAGAGCTATGTCCCAAGGAGTTTCTGAACTTTCGTAGTTGAAGAATCTCCTTACTGAGTTGGGTGTGTGGAGTTCAGAACCTATGTCATTGTATTGTGATAACAAGGCTACAATCGGCACTGTACACAATCCAGTTTCCCATGAGCGGACCAAACACATTGAGATTGACAAACACTTCATTTATGAAAGAGTGGACAGTGGGTGAAATTTGTATACCTTTTGTTGAATCAAAAGACCAAGTGGCTGGTGTATTCACAAAAGGTCGGCCTACCCTGTGGCATGATGAGTTACGTAACAAGTTGGGTATGAAAGATACCTACAACCAACTTGAGGGGGAGTGCTGTGAGAGGTGTTTATATACAGTGTATTTGGTACAAGAGGTTTCCTATAATTCTCTTACATTTAGGGACCTCTCTATATAATATTTAATTTTAGTAATATTAAAGGGAACAGTGGGAGCTGCCACTGACACTATGAGATCATTCTTCCAATTCTGACTTTCTCTCTTCTTTTCTCTCCTTTCTCCTGGGTTATCTTTGACAGATTACACTCCCCAAGCACCTAAAATACAGAAAAGAAAACTACAGTATTCTTCCAATTCTGACATTCTCCCTTCTTTTCTCTCCTCTCTCCTAGGTTCTCTTTGACAATTACACTTCCCATGCACCTAAAACACAGTAGAGTTAGGAGTTCTTTGTAGCCACTAGTGATCTAGCCTCTCTAATATAATGACAATACACAGATGGAACCTAACCTCCATCCCCTCATCCAGCCAACCACCACACCAACCTCCTGTGTGCTATGCATCTAAAGATACAAGAATATAGAGGTAACTATTTTTCAATTAGCCAACACATCACTACATCAAAAACCTATTTTCCATATCCTAAATGTTAATCATTAATTATAATTCAATATAGAGGTAACTATTTTTCCTTTTATTTTTCCAATTATTAACATGGTATTATATGCATATTCTCCTGAATGGAAATTCAGGAAACCATTTCTATAGAACCATATAGTTTCAAGAGAAAAATATTTACATGTTCATGCTTGCTACAATCAATGAACGGAAAATAGTACAACAGATACGTACAAGAAGTATAGAGATAACAAGTCAGGCCGCAATACAACAGAAATATAAACTTAATCTATATCAAGGGCAAGAAAGTTCTTTAATATGTATAAGATATCAAATAGTAAACTAGTAGGAGGAAGACTATTTATGAAACTTCTGAAATCCATTTCAATTCCTATTAGTGGACTTATGTTGGAAACAATGTTTTAAAACACGGAGGCATGACACAAGGCATTCCACTACCTAGAGGTGTGAGACGTAGTTCAGAACGTAAGAGGCATAAGCCTTCCAAACACAAGGACGTGTAAGCCTTCTAAAGAGGGAGGGGAGATGAGGAGACAAAAGGAGGAGGAAGAAGAATCTCATTTTTCTTTATTTTTAATAAAATTCTTTTATATTAAGAAGAATGAAGATGCATAGCACTAGTTGAGAGGGGGGGATCTTGTCGAAGCGGAGGCGAGCGAGCGAAGCAAGACCTCCCAAACAGAAAAAAATGGGACTGAAATGAAAAGGGGGGCTGTGGGGTCTAGGGACTCTGCCCCCGGCCCACTTTCCTTCCCATTATCAATTCTTCCCTTCCCTTTCCTTTTCTTTTTCTCTTTTTTTTCTTCTCTTTCATTCTTTTTCTTTCCCTTCCCTTTCTTTTCCTTTCCTTTCCTTTTTTTATTTTTTATTTTTTTCTCTCTTTTTACATGAGGTTTGCACGAGGTGTATGCCTCCGTTGAAGTCATTTTCTTATTCAAATAATTTGTAATAAGTGGGCTAGCTAGTCTACTAGCCAAATCATTAAAATTATAAAAAATTATCCCGTATGGGAGTTCCTCCTCTTAAGTGTGGAGTTCTCTCTCTTTAAGTGAGGAGGTCCTTCTCTTTAAGTGGGAGGGACAGGTGTCCTTCACCTAGGAGGAGGGGGTAGTTACATAACCACCCCACTCCCTATTTAAGCTCCTTAAGGGGAAGCTAGAAGCAAACACACAGAGAGACTCTTCGGAGAAAATTTTCACAAGAGATTCTTAAGAAAAGCAAAGATAAGGAGAGAACAAAAGAGAAGTGCTCAAGAGAAGGCAAGGAAAGAAAAGTCTCACTAATACAGGAAGAGAAAAGGAAAGTCCTCTCCGTGAATACTTTTGAGAAAGGAAAAAGAGGGAAAAATAAACCATCTACAACCAGGTGCCTTTACTTGGTTGATTATGGTCCCTCTTTCAAGACAAAGTTAGGGATTAAACCATCTACAGTATAATTCTTGAAGACTGATTATGGTTCCCCTCAAATGAAAATGAAGAGTAGGGGGGAATAAACCATCTACAACCAGGTGCCTCTACTTGGTTGATTATGGTCCCTCTTTCAAGACAAAGTTAAGGAGTAAACCATCTACAGTCTAAATCTCAAAGGCTGATTATGGTTCCCTTCAAATGAAAATGAAGAGYGGAGGGATGAAAATCRTCTACAATCAAATRTTCAATTTGATTGACTACGGTTCCCTTTTYGTATGMAAAATTCCAAGGARTAAGGYTGTCTACAATCAGAATTTCATCTGATTGACTACAACTTATTATGAAGAAAGGAGTGAGAAGGAAATTTTCTTTGTATTAAAGAAAAGAGAAATGTATTGTTGTATAGTTTCTCAATTGTATTTTCTTTTTCTTTCTTCTCATTCTTGTACACCTGATGTAAAGGAAAAGAAAATGAAAAGTTCCTTTTTAAGTATCCTATTGTTCTTTTCTTTTGTTCTATGCATTCATTTCTCCAAGTCAGAATCAAAAGGTGTTCTCTACTTTCTTGTGGGAATGTAATTAAGGGGAACAATCCGTATGATTCCTTGAATGGGCCTTACCTAAAATAATAAAAACTCAATCACTTGATTGAGTGAATTATGTTGCATGAGAATTTATTAAAATTTTCACACCAACAGCCTCAGAGGTGTCAGCGCCTCTGGCATACACCTCAAGGTGTTTTTGAGGTGCCTCACCTGGAGGCACACCTCCAGGCATATGCCTCCCACGCCTTTTAAAACACTGGTTCGAAGAGAGATCAATAAATATAAGCAATGGGATTTCAATATTACAATGAATCAAAAAAATCACGATATACATAGAATAATTTAACAAGTCTTAGTTTCCTCGCATGTTTAAATTCAACATCATGAGGAAAGTAGCATGCTTTCAGAACAAGAAAGAGAAATTAGTTAAAAAATGGACCTTTTACTTTGTCGGTGAATCATCCAAAAAGATGTAATATGATCATAAGATAAAATATCCAGAAGCAGAATGTGGTCCTGCAGTAAAACCAAGATATAAGATACATGAAGTGGGAACCATCTTCAGAACATGCAATAAGAGCAACCAATTGCACACTGAAGATCAAAGTTTTAATTACCTTTTCCAAAACCCAACCCCCTTGGACAAATAATGTAAGATAAATAGGTTTCCGTATATCTGCTGAATAAATATGTACGCTATTGCGGGATGAAATAATTCCATGTTGCCGCTCAACACTATTCCCTTCTTTTGTTTTCTCCCAGATAGTAAATTCTGCAGGACAAGGAAGTCTATTCTCCAACTTCAGAGGAGAATTGATAGATATTTTCCAATCATAAACAGGTGTATTCAGTTCAGTTTGCAGAACAGAGGCATCTGTTCCAACGCTAAGCCAAAAATACTTTTTACTACCTTGACTGGGGCAACAATATAAGAGAACATCTTTTTTCTCAAGTTGGTTCAACTTAAAAGTAAAAACTGGCAATGTATTTCCTGGCTGCACTTGTCTAGAGAGTGAACTATAATCAGTTAGGGATTGATCATTTCCGTGACCATTGCCAGAACCAAAAGTAGCTGCATAAGCCCAGGAGTATGGGGATCGAGTATATTCAACAAAAGGACGAACTTGCAAGCAAAGGTCAGAATCCCTTGCTGTACTACTCCAAGGTAAAGCGACTGATGTTCCTGGACTAACAACACAAGCAAAATTATTCACGCTATTAGTGTTTTCCTCACTTTGTTGTTGCCTTGTACGGATCCAACGCCTACAGCGCACAAAATCTAGAGGTGATTTTGTGCATGATTTGGAAGTAGTTGGAGGCCACTTTAAACTCTGATAGTCAGGTGCATATGCCCAACCTTCAATATCTACACATTGAGACCTATCGATGGTCCAGGAAGATGTCCATTGCCATCCAGGAGGGATGCTAGGCTCAAAGAAGTCCTTCAAAAAATGATGTGGAAAATCAATTTTTAATGTCACAATATGTTCAAATATGGTATTTAAACCATGAGTCAATATAGATATAAATCTATAAATAGTCTCACCTTAGATGTGTATGAGCAGTCCCTGGTGCTCCAGCATCCTGGATCATTACCACGAAGCCACTTGCTACTCCAACCAGAAATTGGTTGATACCGCTGATTCTCAAAGACCTCTTCTACAACAATGTTACAGCAGCTTGATTTTGAAGCTGAGAGAATATGGCTATGAAGCATAGACTCAGGGCATAGAGACAGATCTATTTTAATATCTGAATCATTTATGACTCTTGAAAGGCCACGGAAGATTGCATGCTTCTTGCCATTCTTCATGACAACTTCCAAGGCAAAGAAGTTTTCTTTCAATGTTTTAGGAACAACAGACACTGGAAGCAATGACCGAATGCTTACCCATGGACCCTTTGGTCCAAGGCCCACCCAGAAACCTACATCTTTATCATTTTCAGTTGCACTTTCAGCCTCCCTTTGAAAGTTTGTAATTGATTTTCTTTCAAAATAAGTTGTAGAAACTACCAAAAATCCACAATCATGCATTCCTTCATTGGTGTTCATTTGACCCTAAAATACAAAACCAATGAATAAGAGAGAATAGATGAACCGGTGTGTGCTGAAACCAATAAATTCACATTTTTACCATTTAAACATATGCTAAAGAAGAATTCAAGCACAACAGAAGGAATGGAACTCACTTTTTTCCTTAAAGGATATGAAATAAGCTTTGGAACATCAGATGGTTGATGCAGCATTCTTACTGAGGATACCTTCTTCAGAGTACTTGCACCATGTCCGATTGGAATAGAAGACGCACCAACAACTTCACCTATAACCACAGCATGTTTTCTATATTTAGATGCCCACTACTAAAAAGCCACATATATCTTATGTTGCACATCCTCAATTGAAACTTATGAGAAGTGTGCTCATTGAATATTGATATTAAATGGACTTCATGGTATTGATCTGACGGTTAATGGGGTAGCATGCTTTGCAATCTCTACATTTTGTTAGATAGCATAAATTTTGTTGTAATTCTATGTTATGGTGCCACAGGGGCACTTTCATCTTTTTATTCTTTTTAAATCTGAGCTGTACTATCACCCTAATATAAAAATAAACCTGGGTGCTGTCAGCCCAAGTTTTTGGAGCCTTTAAATTTTTCTCTCATCTTTATTTCTTTTTCTGTCTCTTTTTTGTCTTTCTTCTTGTTCCTTACTGGACAATATGGTGTCAGAGCACATTACTGGGCATTTGTAGCAACCAGATCTAGTCCTCCCAATTGTCACTTGCCTTTTTTTGGACTGAGAAGGAGGAACACCAAATCATCTTGATCTGATCAGCTTTTTCCTTTCTTTTTTCTTCTCTTGGTTGTTGTATGGACAAAAGTGTTTAATGGTAGCAGCCAAATGCTGTGAGGGAGTTTTTTTGGAGGTGTATACCATCTCTTCCTTGTAACAGTGGATTGTGGGATCCTTTTGTACTGTTCCATTGACATAATATGTGTGCTGTGAGCATATAATGGTTACATTTGGTGTGTGGGACTTTGTAATCAGTGGTGAAGTGAAGTTTTAATTGTTCTCTTGATTCAGCTAGGGATTTATACTCTATTCTTTGGTTATATGTGCTCAGTTTGAGGAGACTTGCTCTGGGATTTGTTTTTGACATTGCAGATGAAGTCCAGCGGAGTTACTTCCCTAGTGCTTGTGCTGTTATTATTCCTTGCTTCATTGACCCTTTTTCTCATTTGTCTAATGGCCACTGAAGATTCAGCTTCCTTTTTGATAAGTAAAGATATCATTAAATTTCAATGAAAACAATAATGATAGGCACTGTTACAAGCATCCCAAAAGGAGGCACGAGATGCAGCCTCCCTATTAATTCAAAGCTAGCACTATAATTACAATTGCGCCCAACACAACTGATCCCTAATTACTCCTTGCTTTGCTAAAACATCAGCCAATGCATTTGCCTCCCTTCCCACCCATTGTATACTTAGATCCATCTGCTGTGTCAAACACTGGAACCTCATTTCATTTCTATAGCATCAAATCACTGATTCTGGAATTCTTAGCCAACCTACCACAACCTTGGAATCCCCTCCAATCACCAAGTTCTCCAAATTCATGTCTTTTGCAATCTGAACACCTTGTAAAAACTGCAAAAAGTTTGGCCTTCATAGAGTCTCCAACCCCCACCGGTCCTGAGTGAAGTGCTAGGATAAACCCTTTCTTATCTCTTATGAATCCTCCAATTCCCGAAGGACCTGGGTTACCTTGGCTGCTCCCATCAAAGTTTAATTTCAGAAAACCTTCAAAAGGAGTTGTCCACACCGACCTTGTTTTAATCTTTTGCACTGAGCGAGATGCCACTAAAGCCCAATTCCTCCAAATATCATCGAAGGAAAACTGTTTAAATAAATCCAGAGTTAATAGCCAATGTATAACCCTGGTCATTATACAGTCCAAAATCTGTTGTTTTCTCCTCTCCTTTTCCTGAAAGGTTCTTGCATTTCTTTCTTCCTATAAAGTCCAAATCACTGCTGCTCTAGTGCATCTCCACATTATTCTTCTCCTTTTTTGGCCAAGCAAAGGTAGAAGGGTCAAACAGTGACTTAATTTCCACTGAAGCTGCAGCTTCTTCCAATGTTAATTCTTTTCAAGGAACTCAAAGTGTAGAGATGGACAGCTTGAGTGTCCCTATGGAGCCGAGACTTACTATGCTGCCCTTACTTCTGTCTGGAAAGAATTAGGTCACTACCAAAACATTGACTGGATGAATGATGATAATGCCAAGACTTATAAGAAGCTTGTATCTCAGCAGAGAGTTTTTGCCATCTTGTTGGGGCTGAAAACTATGAATTAGTAGTTGAGATATTGGGCTGAGCAACTCTAGTTGTTTCTCCTTTTTTGTGTATTTTTCCTGGGCTTTAGTTGTCATGGGCCGAAGGCCCCTTTTTATTATTCATTTTTGCAGCCACTATTCCTTCTTCCACAACTCTTTCTTCTTCCCTTTTCATTCCCTCTCTCCTACTGTTCTACATCCTTTTCTTCTGATTTCTTTGGTTGAAGACACAAATTTGTTGCAGCTTTAGACGACATGGTATCAGAGCAACCCTACACAAGGTTCAAAATATCGATACAGGGTGATACGCCGGAATGGCGTATCGGCCTGTATCATTACTGTTTTCTTTGTTTTTTTTTTATTTTTTCGTATCTAGTTCAGAAGGGCCGGTTTAAGGCCGGTCTACCCCCTGAACCACTGATTGACCCAAAACACCCCCTGTAGGGGCATATCAAGAAGGCCCCGATACAGCCCGATACGAATTGAAATTTTGAACCTTGACCCTACCTTTCTTTTCCTTTTCTTTAATCCCATACACAGCATGTGTGGAGAACTAAGATGGTAATTGATTGGTGATTCATGCAGCCTGGTTGGTAGAAGTTTTTTGGAGAGTTTTACACCAGTTTTGGATGCCCAAGAAGCTTCTTGGAGAGTCAGCCCAAAACCCAAGCTGACTAGAGAAGAATACGGGTTGAGGGTCAAAGGGATCATTCTAGAGTGACACTAAGGGTTTAAAAGATTTCCTGGAGGACCACAGTGAGATCAATCCAAGTTGGTAAGGCTTCTAATTTCACTGGTAGGAGTGACTTAGATTTCTCTATTTCTGCTGGGTTGCCAGGTAGCAAAAAACAGGGTTTTTTGCTTGTTTTCTTCTTCCTGGGTGTTGGAAGATCTTGGTTTGGGGCTCTAGTTGTTTTTATTTGATCAATGGAGCCATGTGGAGTTCAAATAAAGCAAAATAGCAAACTCGAAGTTGGTCCGTGAAGGCCTGTAGAATCTCTACTGGGCACTATGACTATAGTGAGGCTAGATGACACCAATCATTTAGCTTGGTCACAATATGGGAGGATTCATGTTGAAGAGATACCATGGGCTGACTAGTTAGGAATACCATTTTATCTTGTACCTTATAGTACAGTATCTTTTATTCCTGCTTGTATACTTAACTTATTTCTTATTTGTTTTAGAGAAGGGAACAATTATACTATCTCTTTTATGTAATATTTTGATATATAATGCAAATACTTTGGGCGTGTAGAATGTTAGACACACCCATTCAATTTCTCTTGTCTCTTTCAAACCGTCTCCGTCATGGTATCAGAGAATGTTTGAAAGCTCTTCTTTTGCTTCTGTTGCTCTGTTGCTGAAGTTTTTGGTGCCCTTCTAGGGACTGTTTTAATCAGTCCCTCCCACCCTCCCTCACTGGTTTGGTGTTTGGATCATAGCGGGTAGGGTTTCTAGTTTCATCTTCCTGGAATTGATCCTAGACATTCCTTTTTTGGACTGTACTTTAAAAGTGTTGCTCTAGTTCTTTTTATTGCTATTCCCAGACTTCTATCCCCCCCCCTTATATTACTGGTTAGTGTTTGGATCATTGCAGGTAGGATTTCTAGCTTCATCTTCTTGGAATCGATCCTAGACTTTCCTTTTTTGGACTTTCACTTTAAAAGCTTGTTCAATCCTTTCTACTTGTTACAACACTTGCTCTTGGTGTTACTTTTGCTGAAATTGCCTCAGACAGGAGGGAACATTGTCAGTCAAGATTGATGGGAGCAACTATGCTATGTGGAAGTTTCCCTTTCAATTCTATGTTGAGGGCCAAGGTCCTTTGGGTCATGTGGATAGTTTATTGGCCAAGCCTGATGAGTCTAACAACAACGGGAAGCCTGAATATGAAGTGGTTAGATCAAATATTTTGAGCAGGGATACTACCCCAAATCTGGATACTATATTGGGGGAACTTCTTAGGGAAGAAATGAGGCTGGTTACTCATACTACCATCAATGCGAAGCATGCTTCTGGGGATAAAGCTGTCTTCTTTGCAACAACCACACCAGACAAGACCTGATGATTGATGATATGATGAACTACAGGATTTAATATGATGTTCCAATATGTCCAACACAGATTTAAGGATGTCTGAGAAAGTTCTAAGTAGATGAACAAGCAGCATAGGAGACAAAAATTAGAAATAAGGAAATGCATCTTGAGAGAAGCTAATTCTGCTTTACAATGTCAGAACTTTAAGTCTGCTATGCATACCTTTCCCAGCTTTTGCTGATAAATTTGTTACCTCTAGCTCCAACTTAGCCAATCCCTACAGAAGCCATATATAAAAATTTATGCCTGGCTAACAAATTATTTTAAGTTCATCAGCCTTCTATAAATTTACATAATTCAGTGAGAAACAGTTGATTTTGTGGGATGATGACGAAAATAACATTTGTAAGGAAAAATGCTTAGAATTATAGTTGAATCTAAGGGGTAAGGCTATTCCTTGATAAAATGGTAAACTTGGGGTACTGAGCATGAAATCATAGTGTCCGAGTCAGATAGTGTAGCTACTTCAAGCTAAAAAATGTTGTGTTAAGCAGGACTATCATTGCACAATTGTCTTTTTTCAAAACTAGTTAAATTTTTCAAAAATATTGTGCATGAGAAAAGGCAGCAGGAAGGTTTCCTCAATTTGGTATTTTCATGACTTCAGAGGGTTTTCTCAATGAAGGCTTCCACTACTATAGACAGATCATCATTGGCGTTGTTCATGACTGAAGAGGATTTCCTCAATTTGGTGTTTTCAATGGGCAGTCACTATTCTGATCACGTATTGGTTCTTATTCTAATGGGAATCCAGAGAGGAACCTTCTGACATCCAAATGTTCACGTTGTTGCCGCTGAATTCTCTGATCCATGGACAGAGGCTAATAGACTCATTCAACTCATTCCTAAGGTTATCAAGGGGTGGGTAGTAAACCTCAATACTCTAATCACCTTGTTGAAGAGGTAATCTTGGTAAGAGTACAACCCTTGAATGTGTTACCAAATCTCTTTCATTCTATCCAAGAATATAAGATTTCTACCAATCCTTGACTCCATGCTATTCTATAGCCGTGTCATAATTTGTGCTTCTCACTGCACCCGTTGTATAAAAAATGAACATCAGGTCTAGTATTAGTTATGTAAATGTAAGTTTCCTACTTTCCTCTGGCAGTGAGAAACACTTCAACAGACTTAGCCCGACACCTTTCAATTTAATTAAAGTCACTTGAACAGTGAAATAATCTGGGTTCATTATCAGTCCAGATTTGGAATTACCACTAGAAACTGCCATGACTTTACAAAATAAACCAAAAACTGGTCCCTTTCAATTTTCAAATAAAGATTCCCCACGCAATAATACAGCCTCAAAATAGAAAAGAACTCGCTGCATTTGTGGAGCTTCACAAAGATATTCTTCCATATTTATGTCTTAAGTTGATTTAGGTAGTTGAGTTATCCGTTGCAAAAGAAATATTCTATACCTAGAAAAAGCATACCTTGGCTAGGGAGATTTGTTTTTGGTAGAGCAAATCTGGTTCTCCTTGGAGGAGAAGTTTTGAAAAGCAATTTTTAGTTCACTACTTTCTATAGAAAATCTTTCACATAAGTCCAAGGTAAAGGATATCCTTGAATGACTTTGTGAACGATTTATGTTGTACATAATTTCCACAGATTAGCATCACTTTACAGCGTGTGATGTCTCCAAGTAGCATGTGAGCCATTTGATAAGGAAATTTGAGCCTCAAGCAGATGTCTTTGAGTAGCATGTGAGCCATTTGTAAGTATATAGTGTACATTGACCAATATCACATCCCTAGAAAATAGGGATGCAAGTTGGATACTTGACTTGTCAACCCAATCCATTCAAATTGTAACAAACACCTAAGTAGTGTCCACCCAAGTTGCTTTCCTACTAGTCAAGAAAGGAGAAAAGAGTAGACTGAGCCCATTGAAAGCATGATATTTCCTGATTTTATCATGGAGAAAGGCTAGGCAATTGATTGGCACCTTATGTAATATATTTTTCTGGATTCTAGAATCAATAAAAGAAAATAATCAATAGGTTTCAAAGCATTTCTTTGTAACCAATTGGAATTATAGTTCCTGAAGATGCTTTTCGAAATAGAATTACTACTTAATATAGTGAATCATAAAGAGAATTAAGATAGATAAATAACAAAGGACAGGAAATAAAGGCAAACCAATGCAAGAACCAGCATTTAAGATCAATAGATACCTTCCTTGGAACTTCAAATATGAAAAGTTCATTCCACCTGGCAGTGCCCTCATCCAGGTTATTATTCTTGAAAAGCAAAGGCTTAACACACTTAGTCCTTGCACTCTGAGGGAAAAGCCTTTGTTGATCCGTTGCCTGGCTATCAACTAGAAGGCGTATGGCACAGAAGAAGTTATGACTATTGCCATCATCAAGGATGGGTACACCCTGAACAAAGTAGAATCCAATTAAACTTCTGCTTAAAAAAATTGAAATGGCACAAGGGGCAAAATAACAAACTTCAGTTAGAAGCACAACCCTAGACTCGAATATCTGCACAGCAACATAAAAGCGTGCTACCCTGGATTCAGTTGCAACATTTAATCTATCAGAAAACTTTTGAGGTGGAACCCATGCAGAAGAACAGTCCTCAGGATGTAGCATTTCAATTTTTTCTGCCTCTTGCTCAACCTTCTTCAAATGAATGTCACATCCAAGTCTGTTCTCTATAATGACAGTCTGAAAATCATATTCCTCCAATGCTGAAAAGCTTGAATTATCTCCATGCCTAAAATGATAATCAGCATCCTGCACAAAATTATATAGTAAGATGATGCTTTGGAAACGTTTACACAAATATACTGCGGTAATTCGAAGTACATTAACCTCATTTGCTTTTGTTGACTTCTCCTGAAGCTCAGCCTGTCTTCTCCATGAAACAATGGTTTCTGCAAAAGTTTCTAGATTTGCAGCACTCACATTAAGATTTACAATACTTGTTGCAGCAAGACGTACCCGCTTTCCAACCTTTGATGGCCGATTGACATCAGAATTATATGTTTCAAACCTCCAGAGAAATAAAAAAGGGAGTAGCCAGTTAAAAATTAGTAAAGATCCAGACAATCATTTGACCTAAAGATTACAACTAGCATAGGACACTATAATTATAGTTTATCAGTATATACTTGAATATTCCATCAAAAGGCTCCACAAGTGGCTCCCATGCTTCTAGTTGTGTATTGAATGTAGATGCAGCAATAGAAGATATTAATACTGCATTCATTGCCTCTAAACTTCCATGTGTTGCAAGGTTAATATTTGTAATAGTCACATCAAATAGCGGCATCATCTGAAAAGGCCCATAATTATAAAAATATAAGTAATTACAATGGAGAAATGTGTACTCTGTATCCAGGTGAGGGTAGCTATTTTCCAGAGATTACATACCATCCCACACAAGTTGTCTAGGACAGTTAAAGAGAAGCATCTAAGCTTCATCTCAGCGCTTATGTTTTCCCGTGTCTTTGGCTTCATAGAATCACCAATTGTGTATGCCAACCGGCTTGATGGTTTCTTCAAATCAGCACGAGCAAGAAAAGTGCAGGCCTATGAAAGCAGAAGACCCCAATAGAACATTATAATATTCAGATATTAACAGAATATTAAGTGTTGTCAGACAATAATAGAAAAATTAGGAAAGGTACCATATTAAAGCACATGGAAAGCTGCAACTTTGGCATAGCTAACACAAAAACAAGTTTCAGTAAATAATTATGCCAACCTGGTTTTCAACTTTCCAAATACTCCAGCAATGAGAACCCTTTGAACTTGAAGATCTTGAAATGGGCACCTCGAGAATATTAGTTTGGTTAACAAGATCCATGCGTGGGCAGCAAAAGAAGTCCATATGTGGTGCTTCATCTGTTTTTGATACTATGCATCCAAGAGATGCATAACCAGGGGGAGCAATTGGGTACCAGAAGAAAGCCTCATCAATACCTTTTGCCACAATATGGGCAACTTTAGTGAATTGCACAGGCTTTGCAGAAATCTCAGGATTATCAGCCACAAAAGTTATACCCAATGCAGGTGGTTCCAAGCTGATAAACAAAATGAAAAATCAACCACTTCCATTTACAATATTAAGAATAAGAATCTAATAAAGAAATATAAGTTGAAATGGGCTAACCCTTCAATTATGCAATCACCAAGTATGGCAAAGCCAGGACGTGGTATTGGTCTCCATATTGAGATTGGTCGGCGGATGTCACTACCCTTGTCCCACCAAACCCTCTCAAAATGTGGTGTTGACACATAATAACTGCTTGGTTTTGAAATTGACCTAAGAACATCCCATGCAGAGGAACCAACAGACCTTCTATCTTGATCATTTCTGCTGAAATGGTCAACAGCAAGATCTGATGTCGAAGTTTCAGAGGAAGAAAGAAAGCAGTACGAGCTCCTTAGAAGAATATAACCCAAATCATAACTATGGTTCTTGGAAGGGCAGTCTGTGGCAAGATGAGCAATAAATGATCCAAAGACATTATCCACACGCCAAATGCTAAATTCAGAGGAGAATCTTGGGTTTGATGAAACACTAAAAATGCACTCTGAAAATGTTGTAGAAGTCAAGAGATCTGAGCGTATGCAATGCACAATGTGATTAGGTGGTGGTTTGCTTCCAATCTGAGCAACACACCCTAATGCTGAATATCCTGGTGGTGCAATGGGTAACCAAAGTGAGCAATCATCATCGCTATCAGATTTTCCCTCTTGTCCTTCCAACCCTTGAATATCCGAGAACAAACCAATTAGCTTAAAACCAAGAGGCTTCCGTACTCGACCATAAGTGTTACCAATAGCCATTACTGCCTGGGATGGAGGGGCTGGCCTGAAGATTCAGTGGAGTTAATAGTGGAACTTCATTACCATCTTGAATAACAAAAGGTGGCATCTTACTTAAGAATTCAGAATACATCTATCAATTTATAGCACTGACTAGTATAATCCAATCCACTTTTTTTTTGTTTATTTTTGTTAGAATGTTAGAATGAAGTCTCTTTGTACGAGTGTTTGGCTGATAAGAGTTCTTGTTAGCCCATACTTAAGTTTAAGTTATCCTGTAACTGGGCCTGTGTTAATGGGCCTAAGCCTGTTTAATGT